AAAACTGTAATATAAGGCTTTTAGTAGTAGTAGTTAGGTGTTTCTTTTTGTGAGGTTTATTAATCAGGTTTTCTTTGTTTTAAGACCAAAAGAAAAAAAGAAATAGATGAAAGAAATGTACTGAAACGTCAGTATCGGTGAAATCATCTGTCAAAACGTTTTCCGATCAACACCACCTTACTGTTTTAATCACTTTTTTTTTTTTTTTTTTATACTGGTTTATTCTGTTCAGCTAATCAGTATAGATTATCAGTCATTCATTATTCCATATTTCTGCACCTGTCAATTCTGACATTGATACTTTAGCAACAGCAGCAGCAGCAAAAAAAAAACCTCTCAAATGAATGCATGTGAAAATCTATGAGCAAGAAAAGTTGTCTGAAAGAAAAAAAAAGCAAAAAAATTGTCGTTATTTTTAATGCCAAACGTTGATTTTATCATTTTTTTGTACAGTTATACCAAAAGCACAATCTCGATATAACAAAATTTTTTGCAAAAAAAACTGTTCAATCTTTTTTTGGTCTAAACAACCTCAACATTAGTCCATTGACAAATTCATTGAACCTCAATGTGAAGCTGTACAGTAAGTAAATCAAATTATAATAAAACGTACTTGACTTAATAATAGAAAAAAAAAACTCTTCAAAAATTTATCGTCATTTCTTGAGATATTTTGACATTTTTTTTTGGTTTTTTTTTATCTTCCTTCGCCACATAACATTGTTCAGACCTTTCGTGCTCAACAATTTGTTGGGTTTTTTTTTTTTTGTTTTCATCTTGAAAAGAAACTGACAAAAATTTTTGTAATTGTTAACATTAATTGGTGACTTTTGTTTAAAAAGTCCACTGCTGTTAAAACTACTGTATATTATTGAAAAAAAAATATTCAGCTATAGTCAGCAGCTAAAAAAATGTTAGAAAATTTGCTAGCTCCTTTTTTTTTTTCTTTTTCAGTAACTTAGTCTGATGTTTACCAGTTTACAATTTTAACTTTCTAAAAGCAGAAAAAAAAAAAAGATAAAAAAAGTAGACGTAATTAATGGAGGTGCTAAATTATTTACCAAAGTTTGTTGATTTTATAATAAAGATAACAAAAAAAAACTGTTGAATATACAAAATGACAGTATATGAGGTTAAAATTTTTATTCAAAAATAGCACTTAAAACATTTGAGAAACAATGAATTTTTTTTTATAAAGAACACTACTTCAGTGGTCTATGATCAACCTCTAATGCTTCAAAGGAACTGTAAAGCATAGAATAATTTATACCACACAGGTGTAAAAAAAAAAAAAACTAAGAATATGTTAAGAATTTTAAATTTATAATTTCATCTCAAAAAAATTATTGTTGATTATCGATATTGTAGGTTTATACAGCAAAAAAACTAAAATTTCTGAAGCCCTTAAATCTATTTGTTCCTTCTAACAAACCAAATTGTTTAGAGATTAGTTAAATGATCAGTTGAACACTTCGTCAAATATCTGTATACCAGTGTTCTGTTTTCCTGTTTATTGTTACAGCTTTTTGGTTCTATCCATATGATATTTGTATGTGTGTATGCCGTTCGCACTATGTGTCTTTCTAAGTGTGTTCTAAAAAAAAAAAAAATGTTGATATTTGCTTAGTGTCAGTATGATGCCTTAGTCTGTGTTTAAGTGTGTTCGTAGTATATGTATTTATGTATGTGTCTGTGTGTCTGCGTGTCTCGTTGTCTTCATATTATTATCAGTGTGTTTTGTTGTGGATGTGATGGTATTGGAAAAGCACTACAAACACTTACCAGTTAGCTATGGGAGCTCTTAAAAATCTCGCATAGAATGAAGGCCTGTTGATCTTCTCAGTGCTGCTCGCCGTTGGCTGCTATGAGTTTCTAAAGAACTGATTATACAGGCCACAGTTGTCTAGCTAGGGTACTAGTGCGGTATATCTTCAATCTGATTTTGGTTAGTTTAATTCCTTTTTTTTTCTTTTTTTTTGTTTTTTTTTCCATCTGTTGATTTTCATTTCCAAAATGTATTTCTAACGACGGCACAATAACACAGAAACATTAAAAAACAAGCAAGCAGGCAAACACTCAGAAATGTCCAGAAATGATCCTATAGATTTATTCCACACTTATCGTAACCATTTTATCGTATATCTTTTTATCTTTTCTTTCCCTTCTTTATATATTTATTCATTTTTTTTTTTTTTT